GCACCACCAACTCACAAACGATGGGTAGAGGAGCTGATGGCACATCTTAAGGCTGGTTTATACTCAGAAACCAGGTCGTCTGCGTGTGTCGCAGTTAATGCGAATATGCCCCGCCCATTCCGCAGACACTGCTGCACCTCTCAAAAGTTGTAGGTGACCGCAGACAGGAGGCATGTGATTGGTCAAATCTACATCCTCTCTACACTCTGCATATTTCCTGTTTGGTACCTTACTGGCCTGTTTTGCTTGTAAGACCGACATATTGGAAAATGACTCGGGAAGTTGGACCAGCTAGAAGAGCGAGATGCGTGAGAATGCTGGGACCCTTTTTCCACCTGGATCCCCGCTCTTTTTGGCCCTCATGTCCCTCCGTTGTCGCACAAACTTGCCCCCACTTCCTCACCGCCTCGGCCGTATCTAGACCCACAGCTAGTTCCTGATTGTCCCTCTTGCGTTGTGGCGTGGAATAACATAGTGCAGACCACGCTTCAATATTGGGCATAAATCAAAAATATCTGCAACAAGCTCACTGCGACACACTGCTGCGGGAGGATAACCAGGCCTTGAGACATAAAGGGAATGTTTGGTGTTTTAGATTTAAATAAAAACTCACCTTTTCTTTCTTACCTCCAAATATCCTCTATATGGCATTCCATTCGTTATTTCTTTTTTTTTTCCAGATTTAATTGATAGACAATAATTAGCAGTAATGTCTATGGTCTTATGCACTTGTTTTGTGTTAGTTTTATTTTTGCCCTTGCAGTGCTCATTGTAGTACGTTTGATGAGGTTCATCATGTGGTAGGCTTCGCGTCAATGACGGTTGTTTTATGTCCCGTTCAGACTCCGAGCTGGCCCTGATGTACAATGACTTGTCTGTCCTGGAGAATCATCACTTGGCTGTGGGTTTTAAGCTTCTGCAGGAGGACAACTGCGACATCTTCCAGAACCTGAGCAAAAAACAGAGACAGTCTCTGCGCAAAATGGTCATTGACATGGTAAACCAAAAATACCTCATCTAAGACTTTTTTTCAAAGTTATTTTAATGCATTGGGTGTGATGGGATCTGATTGATGTTTTTTTGCAGGTGCTGGCCACTGACATGTCTAAACACATGAACCTCTTAGCAGATTTGAAAACTATGGTGGAGACAAAGAAAGTAACCAGTCTGGGTGTCCTACTATTAGACAACTACTCGGATCGCATACAGGTGAGAAAGAAGGAAATCTAAATTTAATGTGATAAATCAACATGTGTGTGTGACATGAAATAGAAATATCATGTACATTTCCACTAGATAGTTATACACTTTTTGTTAGTCAGTGATAACCCCCCCTCCCTCCCCACTACCTAAAAAGATCTAGGGAAGTTTGTGGCTTTAATGTCACAGAATGTGAAATCAGTTGAAGAGCCCTAAATATTTGTACGATGCTTTAATGGCATCCGTATAAATTCAGACTGTGGGAGAACAGCAGTGGTGGTTTTATTGGACCTTAGTGCCTCATTCAACACTGTAGATCACTCTATCGTTTCCAATAAAAGTTCAGAAACAATCCACTGGACTTTGTTTCCAAGTTTGAAGACATTTCGCTTCCCATCCAGGAAGCTTTTTCAAATCAAAATGTCAGAAATAGCGTTAAGTTTGAGTCTTGTTTTTGTTTAGAAAACACGCAAATTGAAACAGATAAACGAGTCCCCCCATTGGAATGGGGGTCATTTGGCTTCTTTTGCTAGCCTGCAATGCCCCGTACCTGTCCTTTGCCTGGTCCTGTCGAGGACTAAAATTTTCACATTTTGGATAAAGACAATAGGTGGTCTGAGAGGGGTGTGAAGGAAGCCATCTATGTTAAGAAAGAAAAACCAACCTTAAACAGAGGGGGTGGACTCACATTTCATCTTTCAAAAACCTACAATGCAGCAATTGAGTCGATCCCTTCCTGCAATCATCGCAGCTTTAACTCCTTTACAGGGGAACAGAAGACCTCGCCTATTCAGCCAGGCCAACAATTCCCTTAAACGACCCCCTTTTCTGAGACATAGACAGGTATGGTGCGTTGCAGGCTAACAAAAGAAGCCAAACAACCCCCATTCCAAGGGGTGGACCCATTTATCTGTTTCAATTTGCATGTTTTCTAAACTGAAACAAGGCTTTGTTGGGCTGCTGTATAAAGCCTCGAACGCAAAGCTATTTCTGACATTTCGAATTGAAAAAGCTTAATGGATCGGAAGAGAAACGTCTTCAAACTTGTAAACAATGTCCAGCGTTCTTTTTTGTTTTTTTTACGTTTTTGGAAGGACTATGACCTGGAAGAAAATTGGGTTTGTCTTTCTGGTCCAGCACTATTCCTAACTGAAGGCCTTTTTTGTTATTAAGTAACATCACAGTAGAAACCACAAAAATTACATATGGCGTTCACCAAGGCTTTATTTTAGGCAGAGATGGGAAGTAACGAAGTACAAATACTTCGTTACTGCACACAAGTAGATTTTTCTGATATTTTTACTTTACTTTACTACTTATTTTTATGGCGACTTTTTACTTCTACTCGTTACATTTTTACGCAAATATCTGTACTTTCTACTCCTTACATTTTTAAAAATTGGCTCGTTACTTTAGTTTTGAATCATTTCAATGGAGTTACCGTTATTATTTTTC